CACAACAGGTCAGATGTGAATATTCAGAACTGTTGCTCCACGCTCTCAAAATATTTAAGGTTTAATTTTTTTTCCGTCTTCCTCCCTCGGTCAGTTATAGTGAGACGCCGCCAAACATGACGCACTACATCTATTTTTCAATGCATTTTTTTTTGTCAATGCGATTGTGTCATTGTCACCAAATATAATGACAACAGATACAAATGTCCTAAATATATTTTAATACCAATAGATGCATTTCAATAAACAGAAAATAGACAAGACCCATCTATGCTGGAATTATGCTTTGAAAACTCTGCATAAGTGATTTTGAGTTTTTTTAATATAATTATGATTATGGTCATTAATAACTATTGATGACCATAATCTAAATAATTATAAATAATTCATTATAATTAATTTAATAATAAAATAAGAGATAAACTGGGGTTATATTCAGGATGACGCAACCCTTGTTAACCGTAAAAACATCATAATAATATGAAATAAATAATAATAAATAGCTTTCATTATAACTGGATCTGCGATCCTTTCTGTTCAGTACCGTGTTTACGTTTAAAATGTGTGCACGTTCGTGCCTACCTTGGCCAGCAGCAGCTCCCACAAGCTCAGGACTTTGGTCAAACGGGGGAGAACAACATCCATCAGGTCCTCGTCCTCACACTGTTCCACCATCTGCAAACCACAGCAGCCGGAGTCACGCCAAAAAAGGGTCACCCTGTGCGGAGGGGTCACCCACTGTCCGGCCTCCTGCGGCCTACCTCCTGCAGCCTGTCTCGCCTCCTCTCCGCCTGCTGCTCCGCCGTTACCGCGGTTACGGCCAGCTTCGGGGGCCGGCCGCGGCGGCCCCGCCGACTCATGAGGCCCGGCGTCACCTGAAACCGGCCGGAGGCACCGATTGGGTAAGACAGAGGCCGGAGACGGCTATTTTCCAAAGTGTGGATTCAAAGCTGACCTTAGCGGGCGGTCCGAACGGGCGCCCCCTGCCCCGGCCCCGGCCCCGCCCTCGTCCCCTGGGGCGGCCGGGGCCCCGGTGGTGGAGGCCCCTCAGCCCTGCGGCCGGCGCCGAGCCGCGGTCAGCCTGGAGGGAGACGGAGAGCGCCGGCTCCTGCGGGAATTCACCGGAACCAAAGGTTAGACACGGCGGGATCGGGGAGTGCGTGCTAAAATCCTCGACCGCTCACATCACGACACGGTAGGGTTGTCACGATACTAAAATTTTCAACTCGATACCGATACTCAGGAAAATACTCGATACTCGATACCATTTTCGATACCACAAGGATAAAAACAAAGACCCCAAAATTGAACTGAATTGTGTCTTTCATTTCAAACTGACCTGTTACTGATGTTATGGTGGCTGGTGGCCCAAATTAATGACCCTAACCCTAACCCTAATCCTAACCCCTTCATAATTGTGAGAAACAATTTTGGGGTTAAACTTGTTTGGACTTATTGTACAAACCTATTTAACATCCACTATTTCAACATAATATTATGGATAGAGTTTAATTAAGTGTTTGAAAGATTAATTTAATTATTTTTAAATTAATGTCTATATTGCCATGATGCATTTCTATTTTCTTACCTGGGATTTCCCTTTTGGTGACGTAATCAAAATGGCCGATTTGGATGTGGGCTGAGACGGATATGTACTTGATTAATGGTAGCATGTTATTATTAGCCACTAGCCGCAGCTAGCAGTTCAAGGCTAACGTCACGTTAATGATCATAAACAACGTAAATAAATACATAAATAAATCAGAGAGAAGGGCGGGGGGGTGGTATCGATACTTTTGAAAATGAGTATCGTATCCGGATACAACATTTTAGTATCGATACTTTTTTAAGTATCGATACTTTTGACAACCCTACGACACGGTGGTCAAAATCATGGCAATCCCTCACAACTCAGCTAACTATCCTCCTGAGACCCGGCCCATTCATTTATGTCCATTATAGTGGACATTTTGTCCACCTGTACCCCCCCTAAGTATCTGGAGTTACCCTATCAAGCCCTATAGTGTTCTGTAGAGCACATCCTGGGCTTTCCAGTGAAAATATCCCTTTCAAGACATCTTCTTTTTTATTATTTAATTATCTAAAGCCTGTTCTATTTTCCCATGCAAATCGTCCTGTTGTCCTCCACAGTGGACATGCTATGAAATAAAAATAAAAATATATATTTTTTAAATTAAATTAAATTTTTTAGGTCCAAATACATAAATTTGAAAAAAAATAAATAAATTTGAAGACACTTTTTTTCTTTGGGTCTCAGGAGGCTATCACAGTCAATCAATCCGTTAGTGACCCGGCACCCCCCACCAACAACGTGACAAGAAACATTTATCCGTAACTAACTGACCACCAACACACACGGTCAAAGTGACCAAACGGCTATGTGAGCAAAACCCCCTCAAGATCTCTGATTGGCGGACGGGTGTCTCACTCTGCCCGTTGCCACGGCGACCGTTCTTTCGCCCTCCTTCTCCTCCTCCCTGGCCTCTGCGGTGCTGGTCTCCTCGGGCTGGTCGGGCGGCGTGGGGGCGGGGCCGGGGGGCTCGGGCTGGCCGTGGGCGGGGTTGAGCT